ATCACTGCAATGACGACATAAGAGGAGGACCTACTGCGTCGATCGCAGTTAAATCACTATGGCCAATTGGGCCTCTTTAGGAGGGAGTTCGGACGATGTATTTTTGGACGAATTGAAACCGTCCGATGTCTTGCTTCAATAGCCATTTTATTACTCGAAGGGTTTCACTGCGGCAGGAGAACTCGTGGGATTCACATTACTAATTGGCCTGGCGTCTCCATTCCTTTCCGGCATTTCGAAAACTCACTCATTCATGCATGTATACTTCTTGCCATGAGGATATGGCCTTTCTCTGTTTTTTGTGGGCACTTGTTACGGATCGATCCTCCACACTCGGTACACCTTTCTAATTAGGCCTTAGCGCGCCGTGCACCGCATATATGTGCCTGTAGACCACATAGATTAAGAGAACAGCTTTACACCACATCAATATTATGATATTAAGAACTATTCCTTAACATATTAGCTACGATAGAGATACTTAGATATACGTATAGCTATAACGTAAATAAAACGAGTCTTCTCGCGTATAAATTTATAATATTAATAAATCTAGTAAAAGAATCGATAGAACGATATTAAAAGATACTCGATAACTATAAGTATATTAAAGATTTAACTTAAAGCGTTATATTATTAGATATTAATATATACTTTTTATAAATAAATAATATAAACGTAACTCGTAGAGACGTCTACTATATCGTAGAATTAAGTTAAATTAAATTTTAAAATATTATTATTAATTATTAAGAAATTATTATAATTTAACTTATATATATATATTAATATATATAATAGAATAAGATAGAGTTAAATTATAAAATCTTAAATTTATATATATAGCTAATTATAAATTTAAAATTACTATACTCTTTAATTAGATTAATTAAATTATCGCGAATAAATAAATTAGCGTTCGTAATTATTAAAAAAATAGATATATATTATTAACATATAGAATAACTTTTTTATTTTCTATTAAAAATTTAAACTTTTTTTTTAAATTATAGAATAAAATATAACCTTTTAGATAAAAAAAGAATTTTTAAATTTAGTCTTATAATAACTAAAGCGCAAGGAATTCAAATATCGCTTATCAAAGTTCGCTCGATAGCCGAATAGCTCTAATTAAAAAATAGATATATATTATTTAATTTTAGAATAACTTTTTTATTTTCTATTAAAATTTTAAGATTTTTTTTTTAAATTATAGAACGAAATATAAGCTTTTAGAAGTTTTTTTTTTAATTTAGTCTTATAATTATTAAAGCGTAAGGAATTCAAATATCGCTTATTAAAGTTCGCTTATTAAGAATCGCTTATCTATTTACTCGATAGCTTTAATTAAAAAAAAAATTATAAATTTAATTTATAGATATTTACTCGTATATAATATAAAAGATATTAATTATCTATATAATTTATATATATATATATATACGATATTAAGTTTACGCTAGTAGCTCTATAAGTATTTTTAAGATATCTTATAATAGAATTATTATAATTTAACTTATATATATATATAATATAAAAGATATTAATTAATCTATATATTTATATAATAAATATATATAATATTAAGTCTACGCTAGTAACTCTATAAGTATTTCTAAGATATTTTATAATAAGTATAGTTTATTAATAATTAGCTAGCGAACGTAAATTATAAAAAATATATAATTATTATAAGATTTAATAATATATTAATAATAGAAATTAATCTCTAAGAAATATTAAAACTTTAAGATATATAAAGTAAATCTATATTCGTTAAATCTTTAAATATAAAAGATATATTATTAAAATTAAATTCTAAAAGAGACTTTTAATATAGTATATACGATATCGACGTAATAACGTAAGTAGCGTTAAAATCTATAATAGTATTAAATTTAATACGTACTTAATATTAAGATAAATAAAGTTTTAAAAAGAAAGTAGATAACTAGTTTATAAGCGAAATAACTTAAAGAACGTTTATTAAATAATCTTTAAATATTACTATTATATTATTAGAAAATAATATAACTATATAATAATTTAATATATAATATAAAAGATATTTATTATTCTATATATCTATAGAGTAGATATATATAATATTAAGTTACGCTAGACTTAATTAACTAGTTATTTTAACGAAGATCTTAACGTATCGTAATATTAATATTAGAAAAATTTATTAATACTTACTCGAGAGTCGAGTTAAGTTAAGATATAACTTCGATTTATCTTACTTTAAAGATCGTTTATTTAATCTTATTACTAAATTTAATATATTTATTATAAGCGTATTCTTAATATATTACTTAGCTCTATAGTCTAATATCTTAACGAAGATATCTTTTACTATATTATCTCTTCTTTCTATATATATAATTCGATAGTCTTATTATTTTTATTCTATTCTATCTATATTAAGATTATATCTATACTAGTTTTAATATTATAATAAAGCTTCTTTATATACTCTCTTAACGAAGAGAATTAATAGACTTTTTACTTTCTATCCGAAGTAAGCGATTAAGTTTTATAAAGAAAACGCTAGATATTTCTATTATATAGAAATTTTATTATATATTTAAATTATTAAATATCTATATTATATAAAAGAATCTATATTAAATAATTTATATTAATAATAATAGTTTAATCTATTTAAAAACGAGTTTTTAATATCGAATATAAGAAATTCTTCTTCGCTTCGTTTCTTATAAAAAGTCTATTATCGACTAATAGACCCTCGACGAACTTTCTACTATTCGAAAGAATACTATTTAGAATATTTATAGATCTTATAGCGATTTAATTAATTAAGAAATAAGTATTATAGACTTTTATAAAGAAATAATACTATTTTAAATATTATACTTAAAATAATAATATAGAGATTTATTATCTTTCTCGACTTATATAAGTCTTTATAATATTAAAACTTTAGAAATCTCTTCGCTTTATCTTTATCTATATTTAATATATTATAAATTTTAATCTAAATTTATCTATATTAGTATTAAGATATCTTTTTTTATATTATTAATTATTTATATATCGTAATTAGTCTTATCTTATATATAACGATTTATATAAAAAGTATTTATCTTCTAATTTATTATTACTTTATATACTATAGATATAATATTCTCTATCTACTAAGAATCTTTATTAGCGATATTATAAGATATTAAATTATTTAAAGAAAACGCGAGATTAAATTTCGTCTAGTATCTTAGCTTCTTCTCTCTTATAGAAGATATTAGAATATTAATTCTTATTCTTATCTTTACTTATTTAACGAGATTTTAAAGTATTTAGAGTAAATCGATATCGATTAATTTTATTATAAATTAGATAGCTATATAGTTTAAGATTATTAAATCTATTTATCTTTATAAATATTAATTTAAATATTATCTAATAACTAGAAAATAAGAATTTAAAATAAGCTTACTTATAATAATAATTATTTTCTTATTAATACTTTTAAAATTATCTACGTTATAGCGAGATTTAAAGAAGAGATTAATTAATATATATCTATTAGATAACGAGATCGCTTATATTCTATAATTAATAATCTTTTAAATTATTTAAATAATATATATAAAGTATTATTATCTATTCTTTAGAAAATCTATCGATATATTTATAATAAAATAAGTTAAAAAAATTAATTATTTTAAAAATTATATAGAAATCTTATTAAATATATTAAATATAATTTTAAGAATAATAGTTTAATATACGATATACGAAAAAAATTAGAACTTCGTTATTATAATTTAATTAATCTATTAATAAGAAATTAAATTATATTTAAATTAAAGAAATATATTATAATAGTATAGCTTCGATATTAATAATTTATTAAGAGATTAATCGAAAAGAAGATTAAAAGATTTACGAAGTAATATTTAAAAGTAAAGAACGAGACTAATATAAAGAAGAGTAAATACTCGATTATAACTCGTCTTACTTTTAATATAGAGAATCTAAGTCTTACTAAGATAGAGAATCTTATATTTAAGAAATAGACTTATATATAAAAGTATAATAAATATATTAATTTCGATATAGATATCGAGAAGAGATACGAGCTTAATTATTAGAATTATTTATAAAAATAAATAATATAATTAAGACTAGTATATAACTCGATAATATCTTAAATATCGCATTTTTAAACGAATTAAAATTATTCGATATCTTTAAAATAATCTTATTTTTTATATTTATAAAATTAATTTCTTAGATCTATATTACTTAATAATAGTTTTATATTAAATTTATTAAATAGACTTTTCTTATTAATAGATATCTAAGTATCTTTCGAAGTTATAATACGTTTCTTATAAATCTTACTATCGTCGTCGATAGCCTTTATCGATATCGACTATATAATATTTTATAAAGAAACTTATTTAATATTAATTTAAAGTTTAGCGTCTACGACTTCGTAGTTCTTCTATTAATAATAATAACGACGTAATGTTTTTTTTAAGACTTAGATATCTAAGTATATTATTTCTTATACTCTATTCTATAATAATATATAGTTTTCTAATTTTATTAACTTCTTTTCTTGTTGATGTACAATTTAACGTAAAGTTCAATTGAAGATACTGAAGCTCTTGAGACATTGTTTTTGGTGGTACGGTAGCCGGCTTGGCTACGGTGGCCATTCCGAATACTTTGTCGCATGACCTCGTACCTTACTGTACGCTCGTAACAAATGCAGCTAGAAAACAAGCTTATATTGTTCTCCGCCAGACGTCGGATTTCGGAACTTCGTCGTTACTCCGACGACACGTCCTTGATGTTGCCCCTCGAAGAAGGAGTTGAATCACCCCTCTTTGATGGTTAGTCCATCTGAAATGATTTGGAGAGATGGATCCGACTCGTTCTGATACTGTGAGCGTCTGCGTTAATGGCAGAACCGTGTGGACAACAGGTGAGAGATAAATCCGGTTTCAACTTTTGAGACTAAGCATGAGATGTCGATAGAAGATGTAGTAGAAGATTTAAGAGATGCTTATCGTGCTCTGTCAGAAGAACGGAAATGGCCTGATCCAGAGCTAGATCTCAAAAGACTTAGAAATTGGGAATGGAAACATGAAGATGAACTCAAAGAGAGATTCTTCGACCGTTTGAGTCGCTCAGGTGTAAGTGCAAGTGTAAGTGTATAGCAATTATGATTTGACGAAAACATCTAAAGCTACTTGACGCTTTCAATAGCCGAAATATCTGTTTATGCGTTTGGCTGTTTTTTAATAAAAGCATTATGACCAAGATTATCAGATGTTACTACTATATTTCTATATGTTCGATTCTGCTTTTAAAGCTCAGTCTAATAGAAGATCACTACTATAGTTCTCGATTCAATTTTTGATATTTCTGTATCTCTTGCTAATTTGAGAAGTAGTGTCGTGAGCTCTTCAAGAAATTTGAGGATCCAAAGGCAATAGAGAATCTCTCGATTGGAGAGGACAATGTCGAGACAGCCCTTTATAGTACGGCTCCGCACTTCTTTGCTCTCTATTCAATTCGATCTTCTCGAGTTGATAAGTAATAATCGCTGACGCAACATTTGAAGATTATCTATTCATAGCTGCCACTGGGTATGCAGCTTGTTCGTGGGTTGCTGGTTCCCAAGGTCAAGCGCTTCTCCTCCTTCTCGCGAGGGAACTGTACTGCGGCAAACCAGTAGAATATCTTCAAATGTTCGAGATAGCTATGAGCAAGAGCAGCTTCCCACGCTGGGTGAACCGACTAGTACCCCCTCAAGCAGACAAGCCTTGGAAGGACACTTTCTCAAGATCATCAATTGTCTGTCAATTCCTTGACAGTCTAAGCTCGCAAGATAACATGCGAGTTATCGTGCAATTCTGTCAAGATGTTGATAAGGAGAAGAAGAAGGACGCACTCTTTAAGTTCTATTGTAAGTCGGAACACAGCAGAACAAGTCTCGGTATTACTAATAATAGCAGTTCACTTCTTAGAACTACAGTCTCCAAAGACCGCTTTCCACGAAGCCATTGACTCCAAGTCCCCGACCATCGTTGGTGTTAACAAGGCAATCCATGACACTATCAACATTCATCTTGACAGGGTAGAAAAAGACGTGGAGATTTTCCTCAACACAGACAATGAAGAACTCGAAGGAGCAAGCGAGGTTCATTCCAAAGACATCTCTATCGAAAATTCCGATGATGTGCACCTACTCTATGCGGTTTCTGGCTCAGGAAAAACGAGAAGAATCGAACGCCTTCTCCATAGTCAATGGGGCTATTATCTCCTTCCCGGTAATGTGAACCCAACTGAGCAACGCAACTGTGGCAACTTGTACGACCCTCAAAGAGAAGAATATTCAAAAGATTCGTGCGTTCTATGGAGGTTGCTCCGGGAGATCGACAAAATTATGCCTGGAATGGAAATTGATAAACTCCAAATTCGCAATTGGTTTCACTGTCTTATATTATCGCGTCATTTGATCTTCGACAGATTTCTCAAAGTTGCCGGCAAACAGCAGGCTATGACACCTGCGAAATGGCTAGGGTTCCAAAAGTCCTGTTCTATCTCAGATCCATTTAAGACTCTGTTCAAGCTGCTGTTACTGGTCAACAGTGGGTCCAAGGACTTGGGATATGAAACGCCGGACCTCGACCCCGTGCTCAAAGAAAATGCTTTCTATTATTGCCTTGATGAAGCGCAGTGCTGTCTCGACACCCCTCTTCCTTTCAGCAATATTGGCAGATACAAAGATGAAAACACCTTACAGCTTATTTGTGGGCAAATTCTATTAGATTTCAAGGCTGATGTCAGGTTTCAAAATCCGGGCTTGAGATTCATCGTCAGCGGAACGTCTCTGAAGTTGAAGGAGACGGTCTCAATTATCAAAGGCACTCAAGAATGGCGAGAAACCCATGAGGACATTGTATCCGCCAAATGTGAAACGGTCACAGATTTCCCACTCCTAACAAGTGCCCAAGAACTCTTGAATCTGATTAAAGAGCGTGGGCTTTTTCAGAAAATCGAAAGTGACTCGGATCTTGTCGACGAGGTCAAGAAGTGTGGTGTTCCGCTTCGGGGACGATATCTGTGGTCAGCTCTCTATGTGGACCACCTGAAGGAACACTTCACAAATCACAGAAAACTGGATATGAAAACCATACTTGAGGCAGCTAATAAAACTATCGACGAAGCTAAGAGATCCCTGAAGGAGAGGCTGTCACGGCTCCAGAAGGAGAAGTACAACGACGTTTTGCAGGAGCTATGCTGGGTTGTCATTCAAAGCGATCTTCTGGACATGCCAACAAAGTTCGAAAAGGACGAGGATCATCAAATGATTTCGGAAGCATTTGCGGTCGTAGAGAAGAGTTCCTCAGTAGGCGTCTTGAAAGAACGTCTTGCTATGGAGGCGGCCATCGAGTGGTTTCGCAAAGAGCAATGGGACATGTATAGCGGTAACGTTAAAAAGTATTTGCGTTTCTCGGCGAACGATGCAAGCTCCTTTGGGAAAGCTGCAGAGTGGTGGCTGGCATTAGTAGGAACTGATACTCACGTAAGATGATATATATGCTAACTGATTCGTAGGAATTGTGGCATTGTCTACATCATTCGAATCGCGTGACTGGATCAGAAGGCGAAATTCGTCGTGGACAGATTTTGAAGACACTTTCCAAGGCCAGTAGAGACGGCAAAGTGCCCGAAATATCAGGAGGAACAAGAACAGGTTTATGCAGTTCGTCTCCAGAACCACTCAAATTGGCATCCACACACCGTCTGGTTGAGGGGAAGAATATTGGTCATGTGTACGATGGAAAAACCAGCTGGGGCTTTAGTAGCAGGTTTGCGATACATTTCAGTCGCTGTTAGGTCCTGCTAATATTCGACAGAGGGGAAACTCCCAACCTTGACCACGCTGTCCCAATCTGGGAATGGATGAAGTCTATCCGGGAGTGTAAAGAACCAGTGGCTAGCTTCTACTTTCCTGATACCCTTGCTGGACCAGATATCCTCTTTTCGTTGGAACTGAAAGACTCAGTAAAATCAGAAGAGTCAAGCTTCCGCGGTCGGATCATGTGTATTTTGCAGGTGAGTTTAGGACTGAGTATAGAAGCCAATGGTCTACTGACCTTCTTGCGCCTCAAAAGTTGAAAACAGGGCCCATTAAAAAGTTACGAAACGCGATTAGCACGACGAACTTACAAACGTCTTATCAAGGCCGCAACAAGAATCGAATTCGGGATAAGAAAAAGAGGGAATTAGACAAAGAGCTTGAGAACTGGAAGGGCGCAACGATTATTCGGGTTTTGGTCTGTACTGCAAAAGATTACGACGGAGAAAAGGCTGTCGCCACGTATTTGAAAAACGAAAGGAAAACCAGCAGTAATGAGTTATTCTTTCTATGCGGCAAGAAGTACAGAGGAGATCTTTTTGGCGAGACTTTTGCAAGGTTGGCAGAGGCGAAGATGGCTGGAGAGTCGGAGGAAGCGACATTAGGAGAAATTATCAGGAAGAGACCGCAGGACCAAGAAGATACGGAAACGAACAGGAAAAGGCGAAAGAACTAGAAGGCTGGCGCTAAGTTCCAGAGCTTCCGGAATTTGCCTGTTTTGTTTATTTGGGGTTTTTTAAGTCAAGCATGATTCAACAGCTGAGGTACGTAGCTATTACAGCAGCCCATATTGATCAATCGCAAATTAATTTTTTCCTCGATCACCAGATTATCTTCTACCTTATACCCCCCTCGAAAGCCCGAAGGAAAGCCCAAAAGGAAGCCCAAAAAGGTGACCCCGAAAAGTCACCCCGAAAAGCGACCTAGAAAAGTGCCCGGGAAAGTGCCCGCTCCAAGAGCAGGAAAGTATCTGGCATAATGCCGTCAAACGTCGTCACTAATGACACTTAGGGCGGCAAGTCCATAATTTTCTAATCTGTGTTCAGAGAGGCAATGAAGATTAGTTTTTATCTCTCAAGCACACCGAGATCTTTTCGCAACAGTGGGACTGTGGGTTAGTGGGTCTATTATGAGGCCATAGCGTTGGTGGTTGTTTGATCAACCATTTCATCATTATGCGATATGCGATAGTAGGGAGATAGATGACCATAGCGAGTACTATTTATATAGCTACTGCATTAGTAATTAATTCTTTATTCGAATTATTATCTTTTTAAAGCGATATTATTATTCTTCTTTTCGTAGTTAAATTTATATATATTAAATTTATTTAACTATTATAAGTATATTATTTAACTACTATTAATATATTTTATACTCTTATATACTTTATAATAGCTTTTATTATTATTATAAAATTTAAGAATATAATTAAATAAGTTATTTTTATCTTTAAGATTATTAAAAAAATCTTTAAGATAATTAATAAGATTTTTAAGATTAATAAAGCTATTAAGATTAAAATATCTTATCTATAAGAAGATCGTTATATATAAAATATTAAAATCGATATAGATATAATATTAATATTATTAAATTTTTTCTATTAAATTTTTTCTATTTTTTTATTAATTATAGAATATATTTTATACTTTCTAATAATTTAAAATTTATAAAATTCGATCTTATAATTAATTATTTATTTATATATACTTTTATTCGAATTATAAAGAGTAATTATAAACTACTATATGTTACGACTATATTCTATATCTCTCTTAATATACTATTTAATTCTATAGTCTATTAGAACTTAGCGTATCTTAGTAGAGTTATCTACTACTATCTAATATCTTCTATTTATATAGCTATTCGATATCTAGTTATCTTATTTAATATATCTATATTAATATTATATCTATATTAATTCTAATACTATAACTAGATTACTTCATTTACTATATTTAAATTAATAGACGAATTTAAGAAATCTATTAATAGGGGCTTTAATAAGATATTAAATTAAACTATCGTATTTCTAGATAAATCTATTATATAGATAATACGTTATAAAGAATATTTATCGAGATAGCGTAATAATCTTATAATTAGTTAGAGAAATAAAGTAATTATTAGATTAGTTTATTTATATAGCTAGTAAATCTAAAGAAATCGCTACTTAACTTAATAATTATATAACTAATTCTCTAAGCGAAGTAAAAGTATTTAAAAGAACAATATTTAAACTATCTATAGTTTTTATAATAGCTTAAATAATTTATAAACGAGAAAAAAAAGTCCTTATAAAATATAATATTATTTTTTGAATTTATAATAAAGTCTTATAAAGGATATTATAAGAAGTTTTTCTTTTCTCTTCTTCGCTTAATATTTATAATATTAAAAAATCGAAAGAAATAACGTAACTTTCTTATCTTTATTTCGAAATTATTATTTTTAATATATAATTAAATAAGATAAATCGAGTTAATAATCTTCTTACTTAGATATTTAATCGATAATAATTCTTACTATTTAACGATATAGCGAAGAATATCGTGGCTATTATAGATCTATAATAGATTATTAATATCGATTAATTACGTAATTAAGTTAATAAGAAATTTAATTAATTTCTTATTATACTTCGCGATCTCTATTATTAATAAGATTAATTTCGAGATATAGCTAAATAATATATCGATTTTAAGATTAAGAGAAATAAGATAGTAAATTAATAAAATAAAACTTAATAACGCTTAAAGTAAGTTAGTATTAAGATTAAGAAGCTATAAGAATATAATAGAGAGCTTTAATAATAGCTAATAATAATACGATTAAGTATATTTAAGAATTTATAAATTATCTCTAAGATATAAGCGTTAACTTTATTAGAGCTTACTTAAGTTTTACTCTTTATTTATAGAAAAGAGAAGTCTATTAAACTATTAGATTCTTCTTTTTTTATTAATAATAAGAATCTTATATAAGAGAATTAGTTAGTTAAAATAAAGAAAAAGTTATTAAATAATAAGAATTACTATTCTATCGAGACGTTTTAAATTATCTATCTTCTATTATATATAAATAGAGAAGTAATCTTTTATATTCTAAATAGAAGATATAGAGATATTATAAATTTTTATATATTAATTAACGAGGTTATAAATTAGCTAACTAAAATTTATAAAGAGATAAATCGTTATAAGAAGATAAGACGTAATTATAATTCTCTTTAATAGATAATCTAGTCCTTTAATAGATTCTATATAAAATTTAGTAAACTCAATTTTATACTTAATTATAACGAAATTTATTTAAGAGATAATTTAAATATTAAGTTATAAATATATATCCGACTTTACTTTATTTTTATAACTCTTTCTAATTATAAATCTATACCTCTAAAAGATATTAAGAAATATCTTATAAATAATAATAACTTATAGCGCGTAGACTATAAATAACGTTTAACTTTAATTATTAATAAAATAACTTTTAAAATTATTATAATTTAAATAAGAAAGATAATTATCGCTATAATTAAGAATTATATACTTTTCGCTATTATATTAAATACTTATATCTTAAATATCTTTTAGAATATATCGAAGACGATAATTAATATAGATTTAAGAAATTTAATATATTTTAATTATAGAAAGATAAACTATATAAGACGCGACTATCTAATATAATGTTAGAAAAGGAGCTTAAGGATTCTAAGTAAGAGAATCTTAGATTACTTAGCTTACGTCGCTTAATATACGTTTAGCGAAGTCTTAGCAAATAAGCTTAAGTAAGCGATTTCCCTCGAATTTCCTTTATTTTCTTAAGAATTAGTTTTACTATCAAATCGATATATAAATATATCTATTTTTCTAATTCTATATTACTATATAACTCTAAAACTCTTTAAATTTAATAATTTTAATTCTTTAATTCTTTTTAGAGATAGCGATTTAAAATTAATATAATAATTATTATTAGAGTATAGTCTTAATATTTATAAAACGAGTCGTCGTTAATTAATATAATATTGAATTAAAATATTATTATAGTATAATTAGATATATTAGAGTATATTATAAACTCGAATAAAGAGATTTTTTCGTTAGTCGTAGATAATAATTTAACGAAGAAATTAAGTAGTAATAAAGATAATAATATTACTATTTATAGTTAAGAAAGTATCTTTAATAATAAGCGAGATATTAATAAATAGATTAATAAATCTACTTATATTCTAAATAATAAAGTAGAGTATACTACTTATTATCGAGATATATTTATATAAAAACGTTATTTTTAATCTCTAAAAGCGGAGATTATTTTATTTAAAAGAGATAAAATATCTATAAATTATAATCGTAATAGCGATAATAATAAATCGAAATTATTAATAACTTTAGAAATAAAAAGAATTATAAATAATATTAATTTTAAATATAATAATATTATCTAGCGACCTCGAAAAATAATTTAATTAGAGAAATTATTAATTTATTATAAAAAAAGTATTTAAGAATATTAAGTTCTAATATAAGAGATAAACGAGATATTTCGCTTAATTTTAAAAAACTTTCTTACTAAAAAGAATAAGATTCTTTAAACTCGTTAATCTTTTAATAATAATTAGAAAAAATTATAAGCTAATAAGAAGAATAGATTTCTAAATTATAACTATATATAATAGAAGTTTATTAACTTTCTACTAAATTAAATTAAGAATCTAATAAATCGCGGGTTTAATATTATCTAAGCGTATACGAATATTAACTAAAAATAAAATCAAATTATACGCTAATTTAATAATTATCTTCGATTATTAAAAGCTTAAATAGATCTCTATATTAAGAATTAATAAGTATATTACTTATTTATAAAGTTTTATACGAATCTTCGTTACTAGCTAGCTAATATTTAAATTATATTAATTAAATAAGATAAGCTTTTAATATTTATAATATATTTAAAGAATAATAATAGAAAGTAAGAATCTTCTAGAGAATATAAAATAAGTAGTATTTCTAATCTATAAGAGGGTTAATAGCGAGAAAATTAAAATTCTTAATATAAGAGATCGCAGTTATCGCGAAGATAAAATAAATTTAATTTAAGAGATAAACGACCTTAAGACTATAAGTCTAAAAATAAATCTAAAGATAATAAATTCTATTTAAATAATATAAAATGCTATAATTATAAAAAAAAAGGGTATTATACTACTATCTATATTAAATCGAAAAAATAGAAAATAAAAAATCTTAATAATATATCGATTAATTTAATTAATAATTATAAGCTTTACGTAGTTAACTTAATAAGAAAAGAGAAATTTTTATCGAAGACTTCGTAACGATAAAAGTAAAAATAGAAGTAGTATTTATTCTATCGTTAATCTACGAAGATAAAGTACTTCTAAATAATTAAAACGAATTATAAACTTTCATCGAAATTTATTTTGATAATAGTGTAGAGGTAAATATAATAAGCTAGCGTTTTGCGATTAAGTAGAATCTAATTAAGATTAATAAACTCTTATTAAAACCTATATAAATAAATAAAAAATTAACTTATTATTATAATATCTATTCGATAATTTATTATCTATAAGATAGTTAAAAGCGTATTAAATATTATAAATATATTTTCTACGCTATTAATAAGAAAGATCTCTTAATAATTTTAAATCTTCTAGTCTTAATTAATAAATAAATTAAAATAAATATAAAAGATCAAATTTAGCGTTTCGATATTAAAAAGTAATCGCTTAAGATTCTAATATCGTAATAATTCGCGAATATCTTAAAAAGATATAAAACTATTTATATATTAGTTATAGTTAAAATAATAACTATAAATAGAGAAGATAAAATTAATATAATCGAAATATATAGTATTTATATAGATAGCGTAAAGGTTATTCTTAAACTTTCTAATAAGTTAAAAAAATATAAAGATATATTCTTATTAAAAGAAGTAAGTTAACTATTATTATATAAGAGTCGCGATTATATTATCGAAACTATAGCGAAGTTACTATTCGACTTATTATATAATTTATTTAATATAAAATTAGCGATATTAAGAATTTATCTCGACGAAGCTCTAGCGAAGAATTAGATTAGATACTTTATAAGTTTAATAAAAACTTTAATTCTATTTATTCTAAAAAAGAATAGAGATCTACGTCTATATATTAACTATTATAAACTAAATAAAATAATTATTAAAAATCGATATCTATTACTCTTAATTAGCGAGACGCTTAATTATTTAAATAATTTTAAATAATATACTAAATTTAATTTAAAGAATACTTATTATTATATATAAATTTATAAAGGTAATAAATAAAAGATAGCGTTTCGTATACGTTATAAATACTTTAAGTATCTAATAATATTATTTAACTTAACTAATATCTTAATAATTTTTTAAGTTTATATTAATAAGACTTTAATTAAGCTAGTTAACTAATTTTACGTAATATATTTAAATAATATTTTTATATACTCTAAGATAAAGAAGAAATATCTAAATTATATAAAGTAAGTACTTAATCGATTTAGACGATATAGCCTTTATATAAGTCTAAAGAAATATAAGTTTTTCGTTATCGAAATAGAATTTCTTAACTTTATAATATTTACTATTAATATTATTATAGATAAATATAAGATAATTATAATTTAAGAGTGATTAAAATTAAAAGACTATTATAACGTATAAGTCTTTCTAGAGTTTATAAATTTCTATTAAAGATTTATTTATTACTATTCTTAAATTATAGATTTTTTAATAAAACTTCTTAAAGAGAGCGAAAAAGATATTAAATTAGAATTATTTTTATAGCTCGATATTATAAAGTATACGTTTAAGAAACTAAAGAGCGTCTTTATAATCGCATCTCTTCTTAAATATTTTAACTCTTAACTTTCAATTTAAATTAAAATCGATATCTTATTATTCGCTATAGTAAGTATATTTACTTAACTATATATAAATAAATAATAATATCTAATCGCTTTTTATTTAAGAAAGATAATTAATATAAAGTATAATTATAAAATATATAATTAAGAACTTTTTACGATTATTATAATATTTAAATATTAGCGCTACTATCTAAAGAGAAGTTTCTATCTTATTAAAATCTTTATTAATTATAATAATTTAAAGTACTTTATAAAGTAATCGATATTAAATAGTAAATAAGCTCGCTAGATAATAAAACTCTCTTTATATAATTTCTTAATTTCGTATAAACTAGATAAAATAAATCTTATTAATATATCTTTAAGACGTCTTAATTATAAAAATAAAAACGAATTAATTAATAGACTTTTCTCTACGTTATAATAAAAACTAGCTAAAATTAAAAGCCTTTTAAATTTTATTCTAATTATTATTAAGATAGCTTATAGAGATAGCGTAGACTATATATATAAAAAATATAATCTTAATAATAAGTATCTTATTATATTAAGTAGTTTAAGTATAGATAAAAGTTCTTTAGATATTAATTCTCGAGAAGAAGTATCTATAAAAAAAAAATTTAAGAATTTAAGAATTATTATAATATAAGAAACTTACTTAAATATAGTATATTCTTTAAGATTTAAAAAATCTTAATCTTTAATAAGAGAGAGTTTAAGTGAGATATTTATTTAATATATTTACAACGTAATCGATAAGCGACTTAATTTTATTATTAAAATTATTAATTATAAATAGCTTATTTTATATTTAATTATCGAAGTATTAATAACTAGCGAAATAATATATAATATAAATAATAAGTTTATTTATAAACTTATAAAGATACTTTAATAAAAAAATACTTTTATTAAAAAGTGTAAAGCTAGTAAAATATTAGATAAGCGAATATAAAGTATTAATAATTAGACTTAAAATAGTTAAAGGCTATTAAGATATAATAATAGATTATATATCTTCGAAGAAGGCTTAATTTAAGAAAAACTATTAAAACGCTATTATAACGATTTTATAGCTAGATATTTCGATATTAATAAGATTACTAGCCGAAAAGATATGATATAAATAGAGTCGAATATTATTTCATTTTTCTGATATGGATTCGAAATCTTAATAGGATATTTCACGATATAATATATCTATAATATCATATTATGAAATAATATATATATGAGATATCCCGTTAAGATTTCTATATTTAGAAGTATAAGTAGCTATTCTAGTTATTATTCTAATTAATTATAGCTATTACTATTATAGCTATTACTATTATAGCTATTACTATTATAATTATTACTATTATAACTACTATTATTATAACTATTACTATTATAGCTATTATATAATAATAGACTATTTAAATAATAAATAGTAATAGTTATAATAGTAATAGCTGTTAAAATATTAGATATATAATATATAGAACGAACGAATTAATTCTTTAAAACCTCTCCGAGGCTAGGTTCTAAATATAGTATAAAATTAGATAACTGAAAAATACGGTGGCTGAGATACGCGAGGGCTATATTTCGATAGTAGCTATAATAGTAATAGTAGTTATAATAGTAATAGTTATAATAGTAATAGTTATAATAGTAGCAGCTATAATAGTGATAGTTATAATAGTGATAGCTATAATAGTATATCGAATGAAGATAGATACGATTAGTTGTTAACTAGAATAATAATTAGAATAGCTACTTTATACTTCTAAATATAGAAATCTTAACGGGATATCTCATATATATTTTATTTCATAGTATGATATTATAGATATACTATACCGTGAAATATCCCGTTAAGATTTCTGTCACGGGAAAGCGTGCCTTATCGCAAACCGTTGCGCCAAAGCGCCAAAAGAGCGCGGACCCCTGCCTGAACAGCAAGAATCCCCTAAAGCACACTAAATCCGTAACAATTGCACACTTCGAAAAATGGCGCATGTCCCCATGCGCTGGCCTACACGCATATCGTATTTAAGAACCCCCCAGGTGTGACCCCGTAAGCTACTTGCGGCCTGGTGCGAGGGAAGGCACGAGGAAAGGCACGAGGATTATGAGTCCCCACCAAATCCTCACCGAACCCGAGTGCCAAGTAACCTATTCAGACTGTCCGGGTCACACCCGGAATCGAACCGGTGTTGCTACCAATTGTCAAGGAAATGGATGACTGGGTCATGAATTCATGTGTGGTGTAAAAGATGTTGATTATTCTATGTGCCCGCAGGGCAGATATGTGCGGTGCCAAGCCACGCTAGGCCCAATCGGGTGGTGGCTCTGGAGGAGGCCTTGGCGTACCGTGACAACATGCCCGCAAAGAATGAAAAAAAGACACGTCCTCGTGGCTGCATCCCTGGATAGCTACATTGAGTATGCGCCGTCCATATATCCATGCACCTATCCTTGGCCTATAGCCTCCATATCCTTCGCGAATCGAATGTAGCCGAGCGGAGAGTCGAGTTGAGAGGCGAGTTGAGAGGCGAGAGGTAAGGTAGAAAGTGGAGCACTGTTAAGGCGAGGGGAAGGATCTCCGCAATTATGCATAGTGGCCTGGTGTGGAATTGTGGAGAGTGTGCCCGCTTGAATAGGACTGCTGCTGCCCGTGCTCTTGTTCTTCTCCATAGTCTTCTCCGTAAATTTCTCCACATTTGCCTGTTGTAGATCGAAGTGTCCCACCTCTTCTGCTCGTAAGTGGCCTGGATTTGTATGGTAGGACGAGTCGTTCGTGTGAGAGAGTTTCTGCTGTGGTATTTCAATGCTGGAAAGCGGAGTCGCATTGGGAGGCGGAGTAGGATTGGGAGATGAAGTAGGATTTTGGTATAGTGCGGGGCCCAAAAACTGTTCGATTCTCTCTAATCTCTGCTCAAATCTCTGCTCAAATCTCTGCATTTCTTGACGCATCATACCACCAAATGCAGTCATTAGGCCATTGATCGTATCTTGTGAGAGGTCGGGGATCATTAACTGTGAATCTGGTGTGTTGAAGGCTTGGTAAGAGGTGCTTGGCACGAGTTCTCCGCTTGTTTCTCCGTTGTTAGGAGACATGATGTGATGTCAAATGGCCTAATGAAAGGATTGACTGTGTGGTCTGGTAGGCTGGTGAATAGCCTAATTGTCTGATTGCGTAGACTGAATCTAGCTGCGTAGCGGAAGCGCGGGGGGGCTGACTGTCGGTATATCGTGACTGCGGGTTGAGTGACGGTATAGACGACTTGGAAGAGGATCTGGGTTAGGTGTGGCTATCAATTGTCAAGGAAATGGATGACTGGGTCATGAATTCATGTGTGGTGTAAAAGATGTTGATTATTCTATGTGCCCGCAGGGCAGATATGTGCGGTGCCAAGCCACGCTAGGCCCAATCGGGTGGTGGCTCTGGAGGAGGCCTTGGCGTACCGTGACAATATCATATCATATCAGATATGAGATTATGTAAATCTTAATAACTTATATTATATTAGAGTATGATATGATAGATTAATATCCCATATTATATTATATCTTTCCGGCTAGTAAATAAGATATTTAAATTAATAAGTAGAAAATACTATTAGAATAGTATTCGCGTAGATATTAAGAAGTATATTAATATATATAATATCTATTAGCGTATAAAGATAAAACGCTATCGTTTTTATAGTAAACTAGATATACTTTCTTTATTAATAAAATTATAAAAGAAAATTATAATAGATTTTATTATAAATCTTTCTTTTAGTAAATATAAAGATTATATTTATAACTTAATCTTTATAGTAATTAATTAATATATTAAAATATTAAAATATATACTTATTAATAAGATAATTAATATTATATAATTAGAGAAGTTATTTATAAAGAAAATTATTCTTTAATATAAAATATTAGAAGATATTATTATAGATTAAAAATTTATTTTTATAAGTATATTTTAATTAGAAGTTTATTATTAATTATATATAAAACGTAAATTAAGTATTATCTTTTATTTATAAATCGACGAATAAATAGAGTAATAAAATTAGACTCTAAAATATTATTTAAGAGTATATTATTCTAAGCGATAAGACGATTAGATAGAGTTTCTACTAATCGTAGAATTTATATATTATTAAAGCGAGTATAAAATAATTAATTATAGTTTATTCTTCGCTATATACGAATATTAGTTTAAACTTAAATTAATTATTAAAAATAATATTATTAAGAAAGAAGTATCTATAGTAAAAGAATATATTAAAGAAATTAATATAATTTAATAAGAGCTTATAAGACGCTAGTAAAGCGTATAAAAAATATAATCGAAATTTTATAATAAGAATTATAAATCGTAAAGGTTTAATTATAATAATCTTATTATACTTTTTATAAAGAATTTAAAATAAAAGAGATTAAGTAAAAAACTTTCTAATAAACTAATTAATTTATTTTATATTTAAAAATGTATTAAAACGCAAGCGTACTGGCTATAACTATTATCTACCTATCGAATTTACTCTATTTTCTATATATTATTATTAAAATTATATAAATAAAGATTAGAAGATCTAGATATCTCTAAATATTTTATTTTTAAACTAATAAAAGATAATAAAAAGTATCTAATAGAATTTATATATAAAAAGTATATAAGAAAGAGTAAGATAAAATATCTTATTTAATAAAAAGATTATTTTAAAAAGTATAATAAATAATTTAATAAAGAAGTTATAAGAAATATATAAGATTTAATTAACGAGTTTAATAAGTAGAGCTTATAGATATAAAAAGTATAGAATATAAATATTAAAAAAGAGCTTAAAAATTAACGATTTTAAAAAATATTTAAAGATAAAGAACTTAGCTATAGAAAGTTAAATCTCAAATATTATAATAAAAAATAGTATTAAAAGAGCTAATAAAAAGTATTAATATTTAAAAATAATAATAAAAAGATTATATTATTAGAAGTAATAGATATTATAGTATAAGATATATATATATAAAACGACGGGCTAGTTAAATCTTTTAAAGTTCTTATTAAAGATATAATTAATAGCGTCGTTATTATTAAGACTATCTCTCAAATCGTCCTTATTAATAAATTCTATTTTATTATTCTCTTTCTCTTTCTCTTCTTTCTTCTTCTCTTCTTTTTTATTTTTCTCTTTCTTATTATCTTTACTACTATTTATTTTATTCTTATTATTATTACTCTCGAAGTTTAAGCTTAACTCGAAGAGCGCGAAAGATATATTTATCGATAAAAGATTAATTTAAAATATACTTAATATATATATAAAGAATAAGAAATAAATATAAGAAGTATAAGTATATATAATAAAGCGTATAACGTTATAAATACTCGTAAGAATATCTAAAATCTTTTAAAGGATCTTCGCTTTATTAAGCGAAGCCGCTTCGCTATCTAACTTCTTCTTTATTCTTAATTAATTTTTAATATATTAAATCGCTATTAAGATCGTATTAAAATATTTATAAATAATCTCGAATCGCGTAATAGATATAAAATTAAGAATATCGAAGATAAGAAGATAATAAACGATTTAAATATATTATAAATAAACGCGAATTATAGTATTAGCGTCGATAATTATATATTTATTTATTAAGATCTTTTAAATAAATTAGTAAGCGCTATAGACGCGTCTATTATACGTTATTTATATAAAAATTTATTATAATATAATTACTATAAAGGTAAGCGTAATAATAATATTTAATAATTATATTATTATTATTATTAAATATAATATTATATAAATAAGAAGTATATTTAAAAACTTATCGAGTATAGTAATAATAGATATTTTTATTTAATATTAATAAGGATCTAGCGCTATAAAGAGCGAGTATAATAAATTATAATTATTAATACGTAAGAAATATATATATAATAATAAGATTTTTAAAAAACTTACTATAGTAGCTATAACGTCTATAAAATATATTAATTAAGTATATATTTACTATATATTTATTATAAAAAGCGTAGATTATTAAAAGTAATAAAGAAGTATTAATAAAATAGAAAACTTTTTAAAAAAAAAGTAAATATTATTATAATCGCATATTAACTATACGCGTCGCGTATTTAAATTATAATATTAATAATTACTCTATATATTATTATAATTATATCTAATCTATAAGAGTATATCTAATATTATCTATTAACGTTATATACTTTTATTATATATTTATAATATATTATATTTACGCTATACTATTATAAGAAACTCTTTTTCTTCTTTTTCTATAAGATTTAAAGAATTTTAATAAATTTTCTAATAATAAGAAAATATTTTTTCTATATTTAGATTTAAGGATAAATCTTTAAAGAGAGAAAGTAATTATTAGAAAAGAGGTTTAAGGATTCTAAATAAGAGGACTTTAAATTACTTAACTTATATTATCTAATATATACTTAATAAAGTCTTAGCGAATAAGCTTAAGTAAGTAATTTCTCTTAAATTTTCTTTATTTTCTTAAGAATTAGTTTTACTACTAGATCGATATACGAATATATCTATCTTTCTAATTCTATATTACTATATAACTCTAAGACTCTTTAAGTCTAATACTATTATCGCTATTATTATATATTATTATTATTATTATTACTTTAATAATCGTAATAATTCTATTATTATAATTATAAAAGTCGCGCTAATAAGTATAAAAGCTTTATTTTTAATTTAATTTTTATTCTTTTTAGTAATAATATTAATATTAACGCTATTATAAGTAAGTATTTAATTCTTCTTTATATCTACTATTTTACTTTTATTTATTTTTATCGTAATATCGCGATAGTAAGTTATATATTATTATAATAATATAATATATATATCGATTAAGATAATAGTTAAGTAAGATTAAAATTATTTAGATTAATTTTATATATAATAAATATCTCGAAAAATACTTTACGATATTTTTTAGATAGTATAAGAAGTATATTAATATATTAATAATAATATTAAATCTTCGCTCTTATAGCTTTATAGATTATTAAGTACTTATAATTATTATTATTTCTACGCTTCTCGCTATAGTTAATAAATATTTATATTTATTTTAAAGATATATTTAGCTAAGAGAGCTTAATAGCTTCTCTTATTACTATTTTTATTTTTATTTATAAATAAAAGAGATATTAGATAATTAAGAGATTACGCTAATATATATTAATCCCCTTTTATTATTATTATATATATACTTTTATATATAACTCTTATATAATTTATATTATATTTTTTATTAACTCGCGCTAGCGTAAATATAGACGATACTCTTATAAGAATTATATATATATTATAAATCTAATCTCTTATTATTAGATAGATATTCTCGCTATAACTCGCTTTAATAAAGATATTTATATTATTTTTTAAATATAAAGCGATATAAGTCTTAATTAATATATATTAGATTATATAGCTAATGTATATAGCGGTTTATTATATTAAGAAATTTTAACGTAATATTATTATCTTCGCCGCTTCTTTTATTACTTCTTTTATTATCTCTTATATTAAGTCTTCTTATTATCTAATAGATTTTTTAAATAAAAAATTATTTTTTAATATAAGAGAATAGATAAATTAATATTAGATAGTAGTAGTTATATATATAATTCTAATAATTACTTTTCTTATAATACGCGATATTTTAGCGCTTTAGAATATATCTATAGATATCTTAGCTATTTTCGCTAAGCCTTTTAATTATAATTTATTTACCTTATAAGATTTCTTTATTATTACTATTTTCTTAATCTATTTTATTTCTTAATTTCTCTTAATAATTATATCTTTAGCTTTATTTTAAATATTAATTTATATAATTTCTTTACTTATTCGAAGTTCTTAATTATATCTTTAATATTTTCGAGATATTTTATTAATTTTTATAAAGCTTTATAAGATAAAAAGTTTTTTTAATTAATAAGATACTTAGTTTTATCTTTATAAACTCTTTTATCTAATATTTTATTAATCTTTTACTTTTCTTTTTTATTAATTAAGATTATTTATAACTCTAAATTATTATTATATAAGTAT